GTTCCCTGTTGACCAATTGTTTTCCGTGTGTTGCGTCATGTCTCCCAGTTTTCTGATTGTACCGGTTTGGCTTGCGGTGTCTATGCTTAGGAAGAATGAATCCCGGAAACTCCTTCATAGATACCGCGATAGCTTGAGAAAACGCATTCACAACTGTGAGCGCGTCACCTTCCTGCTGTCATGCATGAGAAACGATCTCAATCCGAAGTTCAGAATCCCAAAGAACGGATCTTTTGAGAAAACTGTGGTCCACAATTTCCAGAGAAAACTGTTGTGAAAAGAAATCCAGATGGCCCATCAGCAGTCCCTGAAGGTGGAGGAAGCCCTTGCGGAATCTAGAAAAAAGTTGAAGAATCGCCTTCCTGCTTCGCTTCTCCATCGGTTGTTTTTGACGTCCGCATGCACATGAAGTCTTTCACTGAAGAGGTCAAGCAACAACACATCGGAAGTTTGAATAACCTTGCTGAGGAGCAATAGAAACCTCTCAAGGTCATTGGTGAGCTTGAAGTCTGTGAGTTGGTGCTTTATTTCCTGTCGTTGGACCCAAACTTCCAGTGAAAGATGCTTTCAATGACTTTCACTTTCTCGCTGACGTTGACCGCCGCCTGCACAGTTTGAAAAACAATGACGTCGACAAGGACAAGCTTAATGAAGTCGACGCCTTGACTCCCAGGTACCGGAAGAAAATGAAGAAACAGAGAGAAGATCCCGCACTACGAAAATTCAATGGTTTTCTCAGAATAGCAGGCATCAAAGTGGTCCCATTTGACAAAGGTGCTGGTTTTTGTCTCATGACGAATGCGGATTACGCGTCCAAGTTTGAAGAGGTTCTCAACTGTCCCCAATTCCCGCATTACAGTAGCCCAACCACGAACAAAGATATTGCCATCAGCGTGGAAGACGAGTTCAATCGGCGCATCAAGCGTCTGTCAGATGAAGATAAAATCACTTCGTCTGTCTACAGTGCGCTCCGCTCTATAGGAGCACAATCAGCTCGTCTGTATGGCTTGGCGAAAAAGCACAAAAACGGCATCCCTCTTAGACTGGTGCTGTCTCTGCCTGGTTGCTGCTATGACAAATTTAACAAGTGGCTACCAACCTGTTCTCGCATGTAAGTGGAGGAAACATCGAGACCTCGGCAGCTGACATGAATACGCGCCTGACACAAGTACAGCTTGGTGACCCTGAAAAAGTGTTCTCTCTTGATGTCAAAAGCTTATGGACTAGTGTCCCGATCGATGAGGCGATCGTTATTGCTATCAATGCTCTCTACTTGTCCGATAACCTGCCTGAATTTGATCGCGAGACTTGCCGTGATTTTTTAGAGCTCGCTTTGGCAAATGCCCATTTCATGTGCGGTGACAAGCGGTGCGTACAGAAAGATGGCGTCGCTATGAGTGCAGCAAAAGCAGTGATAGTAGCCAACTTGTGGATAAAGCAGTTCGAAGAATTCCTTGCCTCTGAAGATACGGGTACTGAGTGGAGACGCAACTGCGACAAGAAGGCCACTCGAAGAGGCTACTCGGTTCGCTGCAATTCTCTTCAATTCTGGTTTCACAGGAGATGTTCTGGCATCCCTCTTGAGGAAATTCGCGAAATGGAATACTCAGACTGGAAGGGCCATTCCTACTTGAGCCCACCAACCACCTCTGGTATGCACGCTAAAGTCTTTGGTCGTTATTTGGATGACCTCCTTAGGACAACTGCTAGTGACAAATTGACGGCATCTTGCAGAAAGTCGACTCCCTGCATCTCACCTTGGAGTTGACTGTTGAACGTCTCCAAGATGATAATATCCCCTTCCTTGACATGTTCGTGAGCTGCGCTGATTCTCACATCGAGACATTTTGGTACCAGAAACCCACTGAAATCGGCCTGATGCTTTCTTTAAGAGCCATGGCGCCGGCGAAATACAAGCGTAACATCATAAAAGAGTGCCTCCCACCGGATCTTCAACGTGACCTTTGGGTGCTGGGCCCAGTTCTATGCGGCAATTGGGAAAGCTAAAAGCATATGGGAAGCTAACCAATATCCGCCGCAATTTTATGATGATCCTCGGCGACGTAAAATCGACTAGATCAGAGAAGAACAAGAAGAACATGAGATCTTGTTTCACTCTACAGTAACGCAGCCCGTACAGTGATACTTTTAAACGTAGGCTGCGAAATGTGGTCCAGGTTCTCGTCATTTTCACCACTCGTAAGCTGAAAACCAGAAAATCCAGAGTAACCTTTGTAGTCATGTGGTCTATCAAATCGTTTTCCTGATTGTGATGCCAGCTTCGTCGGACAAACCGCTCGACACTTGACCACTCGACTGCATGAACACTCTCATATCTCTTCTCTTGTTGGTGAGCATTTCTCACAATGAATGGCAACAGCAGCAACATATCAGCTAAAACTATTGACAAATCAAGTAACATCTCGTTTCGATAACTTAGTTTCCTGTTTTCATTCTTCGCTATTTTATTTGTCATGCCTCGTTTGATTTTTATCTATCTTCTTTTCTGTGTCTTTTCTCAGGTCTGGTTTTTTCGCTAGGTACATGAGGTTTGTACAACCAACTGTTTGATATTTTTAGACTGATGATGATCTGTATTGATCAAACGTGCTTTCAATAAAATTCACGCAACGAATATTTTTCCTGAATATTTGTGTACACTTCTCATCACTTCACAAACAACAAAACACGAAACTGATTTGATGAAAAAAATAGCAAAATTTTTTTCCATCGAATCTAGTTGAAAACTTTTTTGCTTCATGCACAACGTTCGGCTACCCTCGTAGAGCTCATTTTTTATTTGGCGCAAAGGTGTAGTTTACGAATTTGTCTTTCGAATAAATGCATACCTATGTAAATTTTCAGGCTGTACCATTGAACAAAATTGAAAATAGGGTTATGAAAACCCTTTGGCGTAAGCCCGGGGTCGACAAAAAGTTTCAGACTATATTTCGCGACCATGCCTCATTAGAAACTATTGAACCAGAATTACCATAACATCGGTGGTTTGTTGCATTTTCGGAGCCAGAACGCGGTGATGCCAAATAGATTCCCCCACTTAATACTTCTGGCTACGCCATGTGAAAAACGTAGATTTGCAAGGCAGTAAATTCGATCAAAAATCAACTTTCAGAGTTTATCATGAGAGTGTTTACAGAGGTCAACCGAAGGCGACAGACAGCGCGGAAGGCCGGTACCTGCCGGATTCAAAGTATCACCAGTGGATGACAGATGGTTGATGGCTATAGACTGAGATACTTGCATGAACTGATTTAGCACCATATGACATAAAATAAAGCAAATATTGGTTTGATGAAAAAAAAATCCTTTTCTTTCTTCATTACCATAAAAGTCTCCACGCTCCACCCTAGATTGATCAATTCTGTTACCGAAGAAGAAGTTCTCTGGGTGGCGCTTAGATCTTTTTGCGTCTTCCCATTCAATCCTGTGCGATTTTCCTTTGTGCCAAATGTTTGAAAACTATTTGAAAAAAGCAACAGAACTACAATTTACGCTTGTGTTTGTTTGGATTAAAGGTCTAGTCGCACAAAAACGGCCATGACCAGAAAAACGAACGCTTACCTCAGCACAATAGCTTCCCGGGTTGACCAAAACTTCTAATCATACAATTTCCATATATGAGAAACTTCTTGTCATACAATTCCATACAATTCCATACGTACAGAAAATTGTATGAAATCTCTATGATAAACATTTTCCCATATATGGAAATTGTAAAATTAGAAGTTTCCCATACATGAAAATTGTATGACTAAAAGTTTGTCATTTATGAAAATTGTATGATTACCACTTTTTTAAAATGAAGTCAGGCAAAAGATTTCTGAAAACTTTATCAATAATGAAAAAAATGCTTATCATACAATTTCCATATATGGGAATTGTATGATAAAGGTTTTTTTCAAAAAACAAAAACCTCAATTTTTTCATCACACGACTGTTTTATTAGAATCAAACAGCCGCAGAAATTAGTTTAAACCTTTCTTCTATCATTTTTCAAAATTGTATGAAAATTGTATGACAAGCATTTTTTCCATACACTTGATGTATGGAATTGTATGATAAGCATTTTCGGTGTATGGAGGTCAACCCGGGTTGAATAGAAAACTGGTATCAACCGTACTATCTACTCAACCCTTTTATACGTGATCAACCGTAGAATGTCCCCTTTGGATACGTGAAAAATTTGACGTAATTAATTCTGTATAGAAACATGCATTTCGAACAAACACACAAATAAAATTGGTTTTTTAATGGTTACGTGGGATTGCATTTGAAAGCCTGTTAATTACCTTAATTAATGAATTAATGAAATTTAAATAATCTTTCTCTCATAAAAGTTTTAATTTTGGTATACTCCAAGTCATTCACTTAGAAATCCATAGTTTTTCCCCTCTAAATCGATTGGATGGAGGTAAAATATTGTAAGGTTGATGTTTATAAAATGATAAATTTTTCATAATCGTTAAGGCGCTCTCGTCAAACATCAAGGATGCATAAAAAAATGTTAGTGATTTATGTTTTATTAACGGCTACCAGGGGCGGATTTGGGGGGAGGGGCAGGGGGCGGACGCTTCTTTTCTCTGGGATCTGACCTTCTGCCGACACAAATGATCCCCCATTGTTCTTCTTTGAGATATCCAATTTTGGCTGACGACCCTAAATTTTTTCTAAAGGCGCCTTTGGTGCCAAAATATACTAATTATTAAAACGCGACTTTTTGGTAAAAATTTTCCAAAAAGTACCTAAAAACGCTATTTTTGGCCTGTTTTTTCAAAACCGGCGCAGAAATTATGGGCCAAAACAGGGTCTTTTAACTGCTTTGGGGGAGCTCGAAAAATCAATTTGGTCGACCTACAAATCCGCCCCCTTCCCCTCATGAAAATTCTAGATCCATCCCTGAACGGTTTTTCATTAAAAAGAAGAAAATAAATTCATGTTTGACAGCAGTTTTAGTTGAGTTGAGCATCATAAAATTTTACCTTTCAGAAATCCTGGCCTCAAATCCTTGTCATAATCTTCTGGAATCAATTTCGGTTTGGCTGCCTCCACATTCGAGCTCAGGTTGCAAATCATTACAGCCAGAAAAATACACACAAAAAGTATCTTCATTTCGAGCATCTTCAGTTCAGGGAAATTTTATGGAAAATAAAGTCTGAAGACTTTTGATGCCTAAAATTCAGTCAAGTTTGAAAGATTTAATTTTTCCCTAGGGTAGAAAAGGTCCAAAGATAATGAGAGATGTAGAAACAATGACCGAACGGAATTAGGATGGGTTGTGGCAACAAACGTTAGACGACACTTGATAATCTAACGGATTGCGGACCACATTCACAACGCTTACGCTCTAAACGGGAAAATAAATTGCCCGGATTTATGGAGTGGCGCACTTTCGGGTGTGGGTTAAGGATTTTAAATGCCTTGGAGAGGTTAATTAAGGGTAACTTTTACGGGATTTGGAATTCCCAGATTGGATTAAGTTTGAACGCAGAAGGTAAGTGAAATGATTACAAGCCTTTTGTACCTCAAAGTTACAAAAAGAGCGATGGTAATGTAATTACAAGTGCAATTCTAAAGTAATCAAAGATGAGGCAAAAGCAAATGCTAGCATGTGGTATCCACAGGAGTTTTTTTATGAAGATGAATCGAACTCAAATCAGAAGATGAAATGGGGTTAGCGCTCCAAAGTAATAATACTGAAAACTGTGGTATTTCGGGCTTGAAATTTCAGAATTTCGAAGTAAAATGATTCAAAGAAGGAAATGATTTCCCGGGTAGAGACAAGAAAATCTGTGATTGGGTTTTATTTTGCCCTACTTTGAACCTGAAAAAGAAGAAAGGACATTTTTGTCCGCCGGTCTATTTGGAGGGCTGCAACGGTACATTCTCTGTTGAAGACTTTTATAGCCGCTTGAGACTTTTTTAATAGAATTTATTATCCTAATACAGTGTAAACATAAGCCCAACCTATTCTATAAATAATTTGCACTCTCAACCTTACTACGACAACCTCGCCACCCAAATACATCCCGCGACCATTTTAGCTGACTGGCTTATTATTTGCTTAAAGACGCCGTTGGCGCTCATAGTTAATAAATACCGGGGGGCAGCGGTCCAAACGAGTAGGAGTAGCTGATTTAGGGGGGTTGGGGGCAAACGCAAATACGAAATTAAGACTAAGCGCTTCAAATGCAGTCGATGAGCATCGTCCACCTACTGGTTTCAGTTTTAGAGACGCACTAGGTTTTCCCGTTCGGATACTTAGATGTAGTTAAAACGGATCTATATTTTTCTAGAAAAATACATTTTGCTGCAGACCTAGCATGTTTCACTGCAGGTTTATAACAAAAAGCTGATTTTCAGACTAATAATATATTGTTTTCTTAAAAAGAAAACGGTAAAAGAAAAAAAATCTTGAGCAGAAAGACCCAATAAAGACTCTAATGAAGACCACTTCAAGTTTATTTAAATTGTGAAATTAATGAACAATTTATGAATATAACAAATTTACTCCTGGGTTCGGAAATGTCTTAAAATAAAATAACACCTTGAAGTCAAACACTTCAGAGTTAACGTCTCTATGTTTATATCTGGCGCTGTTATCATTTTTCAAAACAGAAAAGTGCCAGTTTTTCCTGCCATTTTCCTAAAAACTCATCAATATTTATTGACGAAAGAGCTTTCCCACAAAACATTTTTGTTGTAGGAGACTCTAAAATTAGAGTTCCTACTTAATAAATTTTTCCACAACAAAATAATAAATTTGAACGACAAAAAAGATCTGGGAAGGATTTTAAAATAATATTCTGAAGGGGAAAGTACACATGTACGCGAGCTTTTTCTCCTTTCGCGAGCCAGTAGTAACACTCCACAGCCGCGAAGTTGGAGCTTGGAGATACTGGCCGCCCAAAAAGTCTCGACTTAAAACAAATCACTTTTTTGAATGAAGTTGAAGGATTCGAACCACAAAGAGCTTTACATTCTGTTGATAATAAGTAATAAAAAAAATTGTAATTAAACATCCGGAATCTTTCCCGGAGGTAAATTAATCAAGGATGACTATGCAATTTAACGAAAGCAATCAAGGTTTACAGGAGCGGACTACAAATGCGCCACTTTCCTTTTTGAGACAGTAATCACTTTAGGAAAGACCTTTCTCTGATAAAAGTATTATGATACCAGTTTAAAACAGGTATTTATATCCAAATATACTATTGAGAAACAATCTCTGTAAAACAATCCGAACTAATTAATCATGATCCATGACTAAAACTTACAAAAAATTGTAAGGCTGAAACTACTTATAGTTTCAGCCAAAGAAAAGTAAACTTTCCTTAGCAAACAGTTTTTCTTCCTAAGTTCTACTTCTTGCTTCTAAGCCTCGCAATAATACAAGTGAAAAGGAAAAAATATATTCAGACTAGGAGAAATAGGAGTAAGATTAGGATTGGTATTAGACTAAGAAGTTGCACGAACCAATCCGCCCGAAAATAAGATAGCATGAGTAAGAGACGGTGTACCCTATCCTAAATTATTCTATGAGAAAGCCACCCCGGACTTAAACTCATCTGGTGCAACCAAAAGAGTCTCGAACAGACCTTTACCGATTTAGACAACGCAAAAAAAAAAAAATATTTTAGAAAAAATCAGATCAAAAACGCCCAACCCAATGATAAATCAAATTAATAATACAACTAGCTTATTTCCACGTCTCATCAAGTTTTATCGAATCAATCAAAATTTATGGCTGACACCAGATCACAATCAAAACTACATACTGAGCTTCTACATCGTGAAACAATGAAACAGCCTACAACTGTTTCTCTACAAAACAGTTTATGCAGTACAAGGGGCCTAGGAAACTAGACGACGAGAAGTTAAACAAACGTAAATAAATGGGTCATACGGACAACCAGTATTTACTCAGCCAAACTTTAATTTAAGTCTGTAAGCAAAATTCAAGCTATTTGCTCGCAAATTATTGTCTAAGTTGGACAACCAGCATTTACTCAGCCAAAAGGTAGTTTAAGTCTGTAAACAAAGTTCACGCAAGTTATTGTCTAAATTTCATTATTTTTTTCTGATCGTCTAATTTGCTTGTCGTTTAATTTCCTTAAACCCGCAGTTTTTAATTGCAATAACGTGCATTCAGACTCATCTCATGGCTATATATCTCATACGATACGAAATAAATAATTACTTTTTCAATCGAATACAACTGTATCATCCACCTCAAAACTTTCAAATCTGCAGTAATTTGCTAAAAACTTTGTAACTTTCGATTTTTTGAACAAATAAATTACAAAAATTAGTTATTCAAAAGTGATTATGATTACTTTTATAAAAAAAATTTATAAAAAGTTCCTTGCTTCTCCGGGACTTTCTTTTCTAGTATTGATGTTCTTCATCTGGAACATACAAGAAAATATAAGTAACAAACCTTCTTTTAAATTCGAGTTGAAAACTTTTTTTTAAAAAAAACTTACTTTTAATTCAAACTTTCTCGAGGATTATCCTTGCTTAATTTCAGCCTAAATTATTTTCTTGATCAGATCATCAAATCTACCCCTAGATCTTGAAATCCTTAACCTGGTTTAAATGCTAAAAGTTTAAATCATATCTTAATCTTTTATTCATCTAAGTTTTTGATCAACAAGACTTTTTTTGGATCAATGAAACTTTTTAGTTTCTTCTCCCCAAATTTTCCAGTTAGTGTCGAACGACCTAAAATTTTGTTCACATTCCAATTCCTAAAAACGAACCAGGACTAACAGATATTTTCCAAATACTAACTATTCCAAGTAAGATAAACCGTGAAGAACTTCATTTACTCATTCTTCATTTGAGACCTTCATCTTTGTTGACCCAGGTCCAGAACAAAATTCAATTTTAGTAAAAGCTAAAAGAGTTTCTAACGATCTACTCATTTTCTAAATAAACTTGATCCTTATAGATTGACTTACTATTTTCCAACCCTTGATCTCAATTATTAACTCAACAAATTAAGATTAATGGTTGGTTAGACGGAACTTATGCACATGAGAGCAGTACAAAATCTTTCGAACGTTTTGATATACTATCTTCCCAACCCGTCTATTCACGACAACCTGCACCGAAGATCACGAAAAACGTAAAAACTATTATTTTGGAAATAAAAACTGACACCCAAACTTTGCATCAATCATTCTAACATTTAGGTGATGGGGTAACTTAACCAAGATACGACCTCGTAATTACACCACACAATCAAAGAATAAGTAAAATTGGCCAAAAAAATAAACAAAAAGAATGCAATAATCTTTCCAGAACACGAAACTCTGATCCGGAATCTGACTCGACAACAATACAAAAACTTCAAAATCATAGGGACCTTTTACACGACAAAAAAAGGCAAACAAAAACTTTTTTCGAAATCAAAAGCAACAAGAGCATCATCCATACAAGGCAGAGGCTGATCAAAAAACTCGTGAATCGTAACCAGTAAGATTATACAATTGAAATCAACCAAAATGACATATTAGAAATTACACATTAACTGTAATACCGCACAAAATATTATCGAATGCAATGAAAGTTTTGATGAGAAAACTATCTTTTCCTTCACCATCAAGCCAAATTGCTACCCTTCAAAAATGCAAGTATAATTTTGTCAAAACCTAATCGTAATTTTGTTTCAAAAAGATACTAAACCTTGTAAACAAGAATTCCCAGAAGTAAAAACCAGGCGACAATTACTTAATCAATATCTACCAGGCATATGTAAAATAAATTCAAACTATGGCATATTCAACCAAATTTTTACCATCAAACAAATCAATTTAACCTTCACATCAAATACAAAAGGTTAATATAGAACTAGATTCTCAAAAGTTTTTCGGAAAGTATCAAAAGTCTTAGCGAACAAAAAAATCAACACCAAAAGCATACTTGGTTTTCACAAATGATGTTTTATCCTCATTCATAGTTATATTTCAATATTTGATGCAATTGAAACATATTTTGTATCCCCAAAAAACATCTCGACACGCAATAATAAAACGAGAACTTAATCTCTTCTCACGCTTTTTAGAATCAACTCAAGAAAAACTCACGGATGTCAAAATCTCAAAAATAACCCAATTTGACCTGCAAAGAATCCTAGCATGGTTCAGAATAGATTATTTTCAATATAACCTAGATCTCATTTTAAAAGCAAGAAAATTTTTTTTAGACAATTAAATAACGACGAAACAGTTCTAGCAGATAAAAACAATTAGGTATGGGACCCTGAATGGCTCCACAGTTCGTTTTTTTTTTGAACTTACTAAACGATATCTCAAGTGCAGCAATTGCACTCATCTTGATGCATAGAGGCTATTTAAGAGTAACTCCATTAACACTGATTGCACACCTTTCAAGTATAACCTAATATTAAACAAAAAAATTATAATAATCAAAACACTCTAAAATCAACATGTATGAAAACACAAGAAAATCTGAAAAGGAATAACAAACCAGATATAATAAGATATCTAAACACCATCACCTTTTGCCCCGGAGGATATACTTGAAACAATACCCACAACAACAAAACAAAGTATTTCACCTATACATTCAACAATTGTATTACTACACAATAAAAGTAACACCCATTTTCCAACAACAACAATACATTCAACAGTCAATACAGCAATTGTATCAAAGTAGCTTCATATGGATTACCAATTATATAGACCAATGACTAAAAAATGACCAACTAACAAACCAAAATATACGAAT